GTGCGGACACTTTTTAGCGCGGACCCGACGTCCATATAATTGTAAGTCAATGATAATTATTCTCATTTTAAACTCAATCGATTAATAGTGCTTGAACGCTCCCAGGATACTACATCTGTCTTATTTCTTTCATATGATTTAGTATGTAGTTCCATCTCGCTCTTGTTAGATGTCAGCTAGCCAGCCAGAGACAATTAACATATAAAAAGTAAGGATTCGCTCTGGACCTTTTGGAGGGAAAAGTGTCGTTTTTATTTTGACTTTCAATTATTTTGTGAAATCTAGTTTAAAGTGGAATAGGATAGTGCTATTGTGCCTTAATCGTAGATTAAAACGCGAAATTATACGAATCTCGAACTAAAATACCCGTATCGGCCCGTTTCAAGGAATCCTGAGTCAATCTAAGCACGCCGCCTCAAATTGCCTATTCTCTTTGTGGCGGCCATATTATATATTATACAGAAACATAATTAAACTTCATGTTTAGGCTGATGGCTTTGCCAAAGCCTTAAAATTAAAAAAAAAATATATAAAAAGTAAAACTCATCATCCTGTCATGCCATTCCCGTTCAACTTTGTGTAGGTCATGATACGAATTTAAGCAATTCAGTTTTACCGCGTCAAGTGAATTGCATGGAACTGTGTTACTCATTTTTTTATTTAAAAAAAAAAAAGGAATATACCTAGGAGAATTTTTCATGTTCTATACTAATTTTGTCTTTGGTGCGAGAATCCAGTTGTACCCGTCTAACAACTCTGATAAACTCAACATTCAAAATTTATCGTGTAAAAATCTTTGTTTACTTTAAAGTTTTCAAATTATGTTAGCTGCCTATTACTCGTGAACTATTAACGAATATAAACTTCCATACTGCACCTCAGTCTTTCAACGTTATTATATTGTGAGCAAATTCACCTTCCCTAATAATAGTAAAGATGCGTCTCTATACTTTTTTCTGTTTTTTTTTTTTGCTGAATTTTATCAATGGAAGTAGTCGCGAAATTTTGTTCAGATCTAAATCGCGTACAAATGTCTTTTTTTTTCAAAAAGTTCGAAATCTTCCATTGCAATTATGGAGATTTCACGATATCGACCAATTTAAATGCCAAGGTCAATTAAGTCACTTCCTTATAATTATACAATTCTTTAGAATGGCTAGCCACGCATCTTAACCTACGCACCTTCTAACTGTACCCATCCCTAATTTTTAGCTTTTTCTTTTAAATCGTAATATCAATACTATCATACATATATTCGCCCGTATCTTTAAGGCACATCTCGCTGAATAAAATATAATATTGATTTTATTTTTATTTTTAGATACAATTTTGTAGCAGCAATAAGTTTAATGTATAAACAGATTAAATACACTAGTATTTCCTAGTTTGAGACTACGCCTGGTTAAAATAGTTTTATTGATACACTGCTCGTTGCTGCCTCGTATAAATAAATACACTTGATTTTATGACACCTTTGCGTTAATAAGTATTAATATATGTATAGTATAGACAAAGAAGTGACAAAAATGAGCGGAACCAATCCTCCCTTTACTATATGACGAGAACTATTTTATGCGATCACGTGTCCATAGTACAGTAGCTGTCCTTTACAAACAGCACCAATGCTGCTAAACGTAACTGCAAACATGCAGTCAATGTGTTAGCAGCCTAAGAATGAAATCAAATAATGTATGTTTACCCCTATGACTATTATTGCTCCATTTATAAATAACCTACATAACCTTGAATGAATACGAGTAAGAGAGTGGTAATGGTAACATTAGTAATCTAGATCCAGTTTTGAAATACTGCTTCTAAAAGTCCAGCTATCCTTTTCTTTTTGCTACACAGACGGCAGTATTTTCAAGGCAAACGCGTCGTATTGTTTAGTTTAAAACGTTACGTAAGAACGGATATTTACGAGCTTCACACATCGACCGTTGTTACGCGTAACGGCTTCCGCATAAAATTACATCTCGATACACCCAAATGAACACAAAGTCAATTTTATTTTTCGGTTAATTGCTGTTATTTTTGTAATCAGCCAGTAATATTATGTTCCCCGAATTTTGTGAAAAAAAAAATAAAAATAAAAAAAAAACAAAATTCGACAAAAAATCGAATTTTTAAAAAAAGAAACAAATTAAGAACAGAACAGGTTCAAAAATTAAGTTGGCGTTGTGTACATACATTGGAGTTATCGATCTATCATGCGTACGTGGTCGAATTTGTATGGGAACCGCACCGAGCTCTGTTTGTGTAGCTTCTTAAAAGCTGATAAGTTACATTTGGACCCTGAGACGCATCAATATCGATTAACTGTAGTTATCGTATAGTTAGTAGAATAAATATTAGAAAACATCACGAACGTCGCTGTGATCCCAAAGTAAGTAACTAAAGCACCTGTGTTATGGAAATCGGAAACGACGATACTACAAACACCCAGACCAGAGACGATATAGAAAAGTTAGTTGTCTACATATATTGACCCGGCCGGGGATTCATTGAAGATGGCACTATGAAAACCGGTGCGCAAGCTACTCGACCACGAAGGTCGTCACATGTTGAGAACGTTATTTAAAATTCCACGACGAACGCAGAATCTATTATGAAAAAAAAAATACATTTTGGTAACTCTATATAAACAACAAACGCGGAAACTACGTGACAGAATTTTATTCACTCGTGGCTTCAGTAATACAATTTTAACTAAAGTGCTTGCAAAGTTTTTAACATGTCTCGATCGAGAGCAATTTCCACTATGTTTCACAAATTCAACTATTTTCTTAGTAATCTCTCGGCAATCTTCGGAATTCCGTATGCACCTGAGTACTCATTTCCATGTGAAGTTTATATAGGTGTATATTATATCAGTCATATTTATGTTATCACTTAAATTAATATTTTAATTTAACTTTAATACATTTATTGTACAATAGGTAATGTAGACTAGGCTCTACTCTGTGAGTAGAATTGCTGGCTGAACATAGGTAATGATTATAGTTTTGTATTTAGAATGTTAAGAAAACAGATCTTGACATATCATATTAAGATTATTGATTTGTAACCCTAAACATGTAAAAAAGTGAAATAAAGTATATTTTTAAGGATTATTCCAGTTTATACTCATAAAGGTACCTCTCGCAATGCATTAGAGCTATACCCCTCGTTACAGTAACACGGCTAGGGTTGGCTGGAAGATATTTCTTCTAGAGATAAACTGACCTTTGTATATGTCCTTGGTAACTTGTGTTTTTAATGTCTTTTCTTTGTTCAATAAAAATGGCAATAAGAATTTAATTTGAATTCTGAACTATGTACTTTATTGCTGTTTTGTTTTCCATGAGAGCTATATAGGGCTGTAAAGCTACTGCACTTTAATAACTAGGTACTAGAAGCTAGTAGAGGATGAGCTAGACATTCTCCTGTCCCTCCAGTCGCGTAGGTTTCTGGGAACTGGAGAGATGCTTCGGCGTCGGGAGGTGAGCGTGCCGGCAGCTCCGCCACCAAAGAGATTTGGTAGTGGACCTTAGAGTCAACGGCTTAGTGGTGGCAACCGTTAGTTGTGCAATGCCCAACGCGAAGTGAGCGTGTCAACAGCTCCGGTTCCGGTACGGCATTTAGAAAGAGCAACCCCTAGAATTTCTTCCCCATTCTTCTCAGGGGAATTTGCCTTACGAATGAGCGGTAGAGTTTTCAAGTGCGTCTTGATTTCAAGTGTAATTTGCTTATCTATGTAATAAAGATGAAAATTGGATTTGAAGAATTTGAATTTACCTATTTGGACAATAGGCGGGGTGCTATACGTGCACCCGAGGCAACTCTCCCAATGATGAAGTCTGTGCAAACGGATTGATTTGGGGTCAGACCTGACTGACAAGGTTCCTGTGCAGGCTTGCTTGCACAGGTTATAGTGCCCTCCCCGTGTAACCAAGAGGTTGATAGGGAGGGTCACTATGAACAAAACTTATGTAGAAAGATATGGGACTGACCTTTAATAACATTTACTCGTTTTAAATTACTACTACTTATTAAATAGTAAATTTTGTAACAGACAGTAATTGACCTTCATAAAACCAAAGTAAAGCTACTCTAAATATATACAATATACACCCTAGTCGATCGAGAGCGTCCAGTTTGCACTAAGTGCAAAAGACAAAAGATAGAACTCTCTGACGACAGCCGAAACAGGAGGATTGCCGAGATATGTTAAGAAAATAGTTATGTAGAATGTTAGTATTGCACAAATCTGCCCGCTGACAACACCAGGCTACAGACATACCGCTTAACTGAGGCGTTTCCTAAGGAAACTGCGCGGTTCGGGAGGGTTGACAGTTTACGTAACAGCTATTGATACACGGGTAAATTTCAACAAGATTTTTCTGACGATATTCAATGACAAGGTGACTGAAAAAAGTGCAAAATGGCTCGTCTATTCATTTCAATTATCAATGAAATAGTTTTTTTTTTAAATTATCGTTTATGTATGTAACAACAGTTGACTAGTTGGAAGGCATTTTCTTGAATAAATTTTTAGAAGTAGTAGAGCTCCATGTGAAAGAGTTCGTCCAGGGAAGTACTGCCACCTTACCTATTTAAGCAGTAATGTCAGTTTACTGTGTTCTGGTTTTGAAGGGTAAGGGTGCTGGTGATTTTACAGGCACGTGGGACTTGTTAACTTATGTCTCTGGGTGACGGGCGCAGTGGCGCCGATGCTCCTCAGATATTTTGCGATTTGAAACACTGAAAATGTTATGGACAGACGTGTAGTTTACCATCAGACGCACGACTTGTTCGTCCGGTCACTTGATATTGTATATAAAAAAAAAACTTGTTCTTGAATATCGTCACAAAAATCTTGCTGATATTATCCCGTGTGCAGCGCGCTATAACTATTACGTAAACTGTCACTCCGCCCGATCGAGTATCTCCGCCCGCACCGCACAACTACCTCAAGAATCGACTCAGTTACGTGGTAGGTTTGTAAAAGCCTTGTGATATGTCAATTGTTATATATAATTATATATTTTTAACAACCATACTGAACTTCAGGACCAAAGAGAATTAAATTCGAAACTGGTAGGCCTCTAATCCCTAGATGACCGTGACAAAATAACTATTGCTTCCTATGATAAATCATGTCGACTAGTTTCAAAAAGAGTTTTGGTGACACCGACGATTCACGCCCCAATGCTTCAGCTTTACTTATAATTCTGTCATACTGAGCTTTTTCCTCTTCACCGTATATATGGTTTACTTTCACCATATCATACAACCACTTGATTTTCCCTACATGTCCTGGGTCTGGACTGCCGTAGAACTGCTGGAATATAGCTCTCTGTGCGGGAGCGAAATGCTGCAATGCTGTGACGGCCAACCAAGTGCATTTGCCTTCTTGGATATCTGTGCCTGCTTTTCCGGATATAGATTCGTCACTGTAACAGTCTATGTAATCATCCTGAAAAAGAAATTATACTTTTTTATACTGTTGTGCTGAAGTGATACATCCGTTGAAAATGTAACGTGGAATACAATTAAAAGACTAGAATTGCGTTTAATTAAGAAAATTTTAAGACATTATAGAAGGGGTGATGAGGAGGATCCATGACCTTCTTTATTTGGAGGTCGAAGAGCTCTTGCTCTATATTACCCTCCTTCTTGTCATAGCTACGTACATAAAACCATTAACTGCCTCCTTGGCCGAACGGTTACCATGCTGGACTGCCACGCAGAGGTCCTGGGTTCGATTCCCAGGCCGGGAGATAAATGTGTATGGCCTACATTTATTTCTCGTGAGTTTGGGTCTAATTTGTGGTTGTCTATGTCTGTATCCATGGCACCCGCGATACAGGGTATCCCTATTGCGGGGTTATGAGCAAATGAGTAAAGAAAAGGAACAGAGACAAAGCTTCTAAATAGCATGCAAAATTTATACCTATTTTACACACGAGGTTAAAATGAAATAAACAAAACTTTATTACAAATATTATATATATAAATATTTTATTACAAATGACTTATTCTAAATATTTTTTATAATCTTTGTTTTTCAATCATTTGTAGTGCCTTTTAATTGAACGGTATATTCTAAATATAACATAAAATCTTTTTAAATAATCTAATGGCATATAATATTTACAATTTTGCGTACGTTTTAAAGGGAAATCTTCTCGCCCTACTGTTTTTAACCACTCCTATCGTCTGAAATATTAAAAAAAACCATGAACCATCTTATTTTAATCAACAAACATTGAATTATATACATAATACTTAAACCTACGTATTAGTGAGCGAATAATTATGTTTACTAATTAAAATACGAAGGTTCAAGTTTTTCATTTCATACAGATGATAGGAAATCAAGCAATGCATTGACGGCTTTTGTTCCGTTGCTCTGGAGGCGGAATTCGAACAAAAGTTTATCGCATGATGTGCTGTTGACATCACCTACGTATTTCAAGTCATAAAGATCAATAATTTGACATTATTTGTAAAAAAAATTAGTTCTTGTCGTCATTTTTGCTTCTGAACGCACTATATACGTACCTATTCTGAGCAACTTGTTAAAACTACTCAACCATGTACGATACTAAAAGATTTTTTGCCACGCCGGGTGGTTTTTTCTTTCGATCTTGAGGTATATGTATTAGGTATCTATTTACCTCATTATATAAAAATAAAAAATTGTAACCAAGTTCTTGTTTACCTAGTTGAGTCCTTGGGATACATATAAAAGTATATGTTTTTTTATCCTTCTGTTATTATCTTTGCATACAATACAGTAAATTACAATTGCACTTTTTTATAAACACTTAATTACAGATATTATATACGTAAATTAAGTAAATCAATTCATGTGCACATTTTGTATTACTCAGTAAAATAATATAATGACTTTACTAGGCAACGTATGCATGTCAAAAAACAAACACGACGCGCTACGTGTGTAGCCCGAGCTGTGGGGCACCGTCCGAGCTGGTTCAAACAAGTTTCTCTTTACGCGACGAAGCCGCCGGTGGTGCTCACTCACACACGTGACTCAAGCTTGTAGTACAGTACCTTTTTATTTTTTTACAGTACCTGGCATAGCGCGGTTGTATGAAGCTTTGCCTCTGTTCCTTTTCTTTACTCATGTGCTATAAGTGGGTTGCGTTATTATTATAATTATTTAAATATTGCAATAAAGCTAGGCGCAATAAATAACTACAAACTCCACACATGAAAATGCATATATTCAAAAACAATGCACACTATAAAGAAGTACAAATCTACAACAAAATCCCTAATACAATAAAAAATTGAATTGCAGCTTACTTTAAAATATACTATTATCAAAGTGCTATTTTATGTAAAAGTAAAGGGTGTAAAAATTTTAATTAATTTAGTATTTAAATTGTTTCTTTTGCATATAATGCAAAAGTCACGTCACTCAATCATAAAACTTGCCATACCCTTGTGCAGGGCCATGTTATGAATACCTAACCTTACCCTAAGACCTATCAATAAACGTACATGTATGCAATAAATAAAGTAACGCTTTTGTATTTCGGTAACATTCGAGATATTAGCACCTAAAGTTTTATTGTCACCTAAAATAATGTCAATTACGCTGATTTTCCTAACAATAAAACTGAAACTAAATACGATATTTGAAAAAAACCGCTTTTGTAGATTGCGCGTTTGTAGATCTCGTTTCGCTGATCCCTGATATCGCACCCCTCATGGAAGAATGGCATAACGTCGCCTTACTTTCTCAAACTAGTATCTTAAAACACAATGTTACTGAAATGCAAAAAATGGATTGTATATATGAATTTTGCAGGCTGATTTCACATCACATTTCCTTCATATTCACACACTGGCTTTGACCTATTCTTAAAGTAATACATCTAAATTAACCCCTTGATAAGAAATTTAAAATAAATAGAAAGTTTTGCCATCTCCCGAATAATCACTTTTTATAAGATACGAGTTTGAGAAAGTAAGACATCGATAAGTGAAATTAGGTCAAAAATGTTCATTGCTCCATTGGATACCGAAAACTTCTTCAATTCAATTCTTGTAACTCTATCGATTAATATTGTCGACAGAGTTACAAGAATTGCGGAGGATGTAGGTTATATTATCTGTATCCAATTCCTGTATCCAAATAAACATTTTTGACGTAACTTCACTTATGCCATTCTTCCACGAGAGGTGCGGTATGTTAATAACGCAATTTGGCTAAAAAAGTCGATTACGTTAGATATGATAAGAAGGCAGTACAGTTGCGGTGTTAGCTTAATCTGGCTTTGATGTCGCCGCGAATTCGGATTTTTTTTCTTCAAAAATTCATCACGAATGACTACTTGGACCAATAAACCACCACTAATAGGGTATTTAGAAAACAATTACTAATTACATACACTTGTCCGTTAACTTTAATAAATAGGCTTTAAATTACGCACAAATGTGAAATAAATTGCTTGTGACGTCACAACCATAATGGCGCCTATACAAGCCACATCAATGATCGTTTTGCTAAAATGGAAATGTTCGTTTTTAGCAAAACTCAATGAGATTCCCCCACCATTGGCTTTAATCAGTAATATCTCTCTCTTATGTGATTGCGCATTCGCATTAAGGGGGCTCCATATTCTCGGCGACATGTCTCGGCAACAATATTTGTCCAGAAAGGGCGGGACAAAATCGAGCAGCTACATTCACGATTGGGACAGATGTAGACGTACTAGAAGATGAAGACTGAGAATTTTTTTAACATTTACCGATATGATATGGAGACAATACGAATATACACGAAACAACACGAACATAGACGAATGGTTCTAAATGCCTCTGTGCCAAACGGTTACCATGCTGGTCTGGTCCACAGAGGTCCCGAGTTCGATTCCCGTTCAGTGATAAACATTTATATGGCCTATATTTGTTTCTTTCGTGACTTTGAGTGTAATTTGTGGTGGTCTATGTGTATGTCCATGGCACCCGCGACACTGGGTTGCTCTAGTGCGGCTATGTAAGTCTCTAAGTCTGTGGGTTAAAAAAAATGCTCGGTAGTTTTGCCGAGAGTGTGTACCCCGCTTTATGAATATCAATAATTACTTTTTTTTATAAAAAAACTAATGCCAAATGTTCGTGGAATTACATCTATTTGCCAAATTTTGTTGAAATGGGTTACCGGAAAGTGCGTGAAACGGGACTCATCCCCTAGTTTGTCACCCTTAGAGGTGGAATATTTTCTTCAAATTTAAATGGGACGAATAGTGAGGTATCCTCTTTCCAACAAAAAAAAGAATGATCAAAATCTGTTAATTGCATAACATACTAACAAAAAAAAACACAAATACATCGAATTGAGAACCTCCTCCTGTTTTAAAGACGGTTAAAAATACTCCAGTTTTCATACTAAAATATGAAATTAATAATGCACTTACTTGCATTTGAAAGAACTTCCCAATATCTAAACAGATTTCATTTGTCTTCCGAAGCACGTCTTCATCGGTGATGTTGGCCAGCAACATTCCAAGGCGGACTGGGAATTGGTAGGTATAGTATGCAGTCTTATGCTTCACTATAGTCTCGTAGCGTTCCATTGTGAACATACTGTAGTCGGTTTTGTTTCGATGCGCCATTGTATAGTCTAAATGCTGACCTATTGAAGTTTGTAAGACTGTCTGGAAAAACAAAGGAATTCTATACGAGGCATGGTATAACGTTATGATAATCTTATGTGAAAATCCTAACGTGTCTAGGCGTGTAACTGATTAAGTAATTTTGCAGTAAATACTGTTTTTATGACTTTAACGTCTGTATGTAAGTTCTTTAGCAAGAAGCAGGCCCTTTGAATGTGATTTTAATAGAGGCCACAGTGTTTTTAAAGTGTATATAGTTCTGCATGCATAAGTATACACTTACCCCATTAAAAAGTTCTACAATAGCGATATACTGCGGCAGATGTCCGAGTTTAGTCCTCAGCACCTCGAACATACATGTATAGAGAAGGATGGTGTCATTGATAGCGCCTAGGCCGACTTCAGGGAGGCGATACCAGCAGGGCACGCCGCGACGAGTTGATGCCCCGTCCATTATGTCATCCGCGATTAAGAAGTACGACTGCATCTATTTAATAATAATGCAGGCATTTAGTGTACGCTAGGGGTATGACGCTTATTTCACTACCCAATTTGTAGGGCCCTGTTTCAAGGGTCGACGCGGTTCCTAGTTAGTGAGCACCTTATTATACTATTCTGCCAGCCAGTAGGTCGATTCAGAACCGCACGATAACTCTGTTGTCGACCGATTCGATTAGATATCGCACGATTTCTTTTCATTTATATTCACAATAATCGAATCGAACGTCAAACTGTCGTATTCGAAACCGAACCGAAATGACGTCACCCCCTTACGATTACACGAAATTCTCGACCAACAAAGGCTACAAACGTTATTCAGAACACAGTTATCGAATGAAAGTTACCGAACATCCTATTGTTTACAATGTCAGAATGTAATATGGAAATCCCTTATTATTATTAAGTCTGGATTTTTTTCAATTTTATTAATTTATTTTAATGTAAGACTAATGCATTCCTATATTTTAGGCCTTTAAGACTTAAAAATGTATATAAAAGGATTTTCATTTTTCTTATAATTTATTTCATCGACTGACTCCGTAAACGCGGTTGAATAACGATATCGTATCCGAATGCGAATCGAACGTTTAACTCGAAATGTTCTGAAAAGCCATTCGATTCATGAACAATATCCAATCGGAAGATTCGGTTAAAATACCGAAGAGTTCTGAATTGACCTGCAAACCCTAACTCATTCTGAACGCGAACGCTGAGAGCTTTGTACGTGTTACTATCATGGCGCCATCGAACGTTGTATTTGTTGTAGTTGTTTCTCATCAAAGTTTTTGTAAATTTCAAGTTTAAGCTGGTGAATTTACAGGCATATGGGACTTGTCAACTTGTGTCTCTGGGTGACCGGCGCAGTGGCAGTGCCCCTCAGATCTTTACGATTTAAGGCTCTAGACAGACAGATTGCATTTCAACATCACTTCGACTGCAAAATTGCAGTTTGAATGCAGTTAAAATGCATTTGGTCCAACGTTTCGTTGGAACTGCACGCCACCTGCACACCGACTGCAATCGTGTTGCACGGTCGACGTGCATTTCAAATACAGTTGGACCAAGTGCATTTAAACTGCAAATTTGCAATCGGAGTGCAGTTAAAATGCAGTCTGTCTGTCTAGAGCCTTAAGCTCTGAGTGGCACTGCAACTGTTATGGACAGGCGTGAAGCTTACCATCAGGCGCACGAACTGTTCGTCCGTGTGTAAAATTTTAAAGCTGTCGGCCCGTACATTCTTCTTCGTATAGTCTTTGTGATATTTCTTCCATAAATATGTGCATGTCTTTGTATATATCTATCAGGCACAACAAAATTTCTTTTCCTTTACTGCACGACATGGCTATAGCAAAACTAAATGACTACACGAACCAGAGGTATGAAACGATACGACTGCTCTTAGCGTTCATAGCGTCATCTCCCTAACTGCCGTAAGTGTTATTTATATACACTGCCCTAGCTGCAGAGCGAGACCCTAACCAGAGAACAAAAATAACGAGAACGGACGCTCTCCGCCCCTCCCTAGCTTTAGATACCGCACCACGCCTCGCACATTGACGGTCACATTGACTGAATGGCAGCAAGGCTGTCGGCGAGCTGTTTTCGCAGTTAGACGGCTTTGATATTTGAATATAGTTTTCATTTATTGAAATGGAAGAAAATCGTCAAATAAAGTCTCGAAAATCTTTCGGGGACACGACCTTCAGCAATGAAGATAACGACTAAGAAGAAGAGGAGGTTAAGAGACGAAAATACACTATTTAATCCAAAATACATATATTTGTTTTTTGGACAGTAATGGACATAGAATTTGTAAAGAGTCCGAAAAATTGGTTTGTTTGTAAAAAAGAACAAATATACGCGATTATGATCCGAAAATCTAAGAACTCGATATGAATTACTTAGCAACATGAAATTCTGAATCAAAGTATGTAAATAACTTTTTGCTTAACAAAATTGTAAGTTACATTCATTAACGCTAAAATGTGTATTCATTAGTGCTCGTATAAATCGTTTAACTTAAAATAGTATAAACAATACGGTTTTGCGGATTTATACTTAAATCTCGTGGCTTTATATTAATAAACATCTTTAGGAAAACTTTCTCACCATTTCCACGCACCATCCCAAAATGCGTGCGAGTCTTAGGGAGTCTTCAGTGATGTTTTCAGGCTTCTCCATCATTTCGTAAGCCATCACCGTTGTCAGTCCACGGTTCATTTTGCCTCCTGCTAAATTGTAGTCTAATATCTGGGGAGAAAAGTGTATAATAGGTGAAAATAAGTTAGTTTGATTGATAATGAAATCAAAATTAAATATTTGCGCATTCACTTGTCACACATAACATACCTATAGAATTTTGACGTTGTACACCATTGACTTACAAATAAATGGACGACGGGTCTAATACAAAAACCACGAAAAAAATGTCCCAAGTCAACCTATTCGAAATTTAAATTGTAATGTCATCGCAGTATCGCGCTGTCCGTAGAACAAATGAAGACTAAAGCGGAGTGTCGCGCTCTGTATACGATTTTAGCGCCTTACAAGTGCGGACACTTTTTAGCGCGGACCCGACGTCCATATAATTGTAAGTCAATGTTGTACACACATACAAAATGACACTACCCACCTACAACGAATTTTATTTGAAGCAGTAGTGTTCCATTGAAGTTTATTTCATGATATTGTTTATTTGAGAGTGAATAGGCATTATTTAGGTGTACATGCTCATCGTCACTTTCCATCAGGTGAGATGGGGGTCAAATGCGCACCTATGTTTTATTAAAAAAAACTAAGTGACACGAACGCGACAGCACCTAAGCGACACTCTTATCCATAGCAGTTTCAATGCCACTCAGAACTTTAAATCGTAAATATCTGAGGGACACTGCCATTGCGCCCATCACCCCCAGACGTAAGGTAGCAAATTCCAAGTACCAGTAGTGCTCCAGATTACTGCTTTTCGGCATAAATAGGTAAGGTTGTTTATTCTAGAGTAACTCAATTTATTAAATTATAATTTACTTGCACTTCCATTGTTTTATTAATTAACACACCTTTTTAACCCAGCTAGCTGCCTCGGGCACCTCAGCAAACTTGCTGTTACTGACAAGAGTGTCAACAATCATTGGCAGTGTATCCTGGAATGTTTCCCTCCATTTGCTTTCTGACAATGCATTGGTTGTCGCCGACACGCTACTACTTCTTTGCAGTTGGATAATTCTGTTGAAAAAAAAACATGGAAATGATCCATTGGATAATTGATTGTTTTTTTTAAATTCACTATTCAGGATTCAATGTAAGACACAGACCTATTATTGTATTATGATAGTTGCCTGATATAATACAAAAGTAAAAAGCAACTCTGTCGACAATATTGACCAACTTTAATGACAAAAAATCTAAAAACTATATTATTCTATTTTTTAAATGTCATACCAAAAACCTGCAAATGCTTTTTTAAATTTTTTTTGTAACTAATGTTTGTATAATATAAAATACCTATAAAAAATAATGCTTTGGTAAAAAAAAAGACAATTTTTCCTTATGAAAGTCTTTGATCTCACAATTGCCATTGCTTCATTTGACATTGAGTAATATAATTTTATGATATTTAATAGTAGATTGTACAACAAGTGCATAAAACGCGTCATTTTATGGATTTATAAATGGGTTTTATGATCGAGTTATACACTCTGCTTTTCACTTCGATTTCGAGGAAATTAAACAGCAATATTACAAATAAACGATTATTTAATTAAAATTGAATGTAAAATTACAACAATTAGACATATTTAATGAGATGGCTTTTTATTTTATGCACTTGAGCATAAAATCGTTTTTTATGCAGCCTACACTCAGCATAAATACGAACTTGAAGAGCATGAGAAGTGAAAATGTATATTTATATACAAGATAATACTTGCTAATCCAAACATATCTCTCAATCGTTATCGGATTGTATAAAATGAGCATCTTGTTTATTTAACTTTAAATTGTAACAATGGCTTTGGTATACACAAAGACCTTAGGCATTGTGCTGACAATTGACATTTACATAACATTAATCTTATGACGACGTTCTTTCCACCATTTTAAAAGTCAAAGGCTAAACTGGTTTAGATCTATGTAAATTTAGTATTCCTTGGCATAACTATTATTAATTAAATTTAGTTATAAAATATTCTGAAATATTCAAAACAAAGTAAAACTGAGTGATTTTTTTTAATAAATAAGAAATGTACAAACAAAACAGAAACTGCATTGTGTGTATTGTATATGTATAAATGTGTAAGTGCAAGTATGTGCATAATTTATTGCAACAATCAAATAAAATTTTTATCAATGTACTTCTTCTTGGGGTTTCTCTCCAATCGTATGTTGGACAACATCATGGCAATCCTGACTTTAGAATTTATAACAAAATAGTAGATTCCGTTAGACAGAAAAAAATTACAAAACATTCAAAACCAAATCAAAATCTTTACTGATAAATGGGTGCTACTACAGTGTGAGAGATTTCATACTCTCCTAAAAGATGATATGAAAGAAGTGATGAATGCTTTAACTCTTTCATAATGTAATGTGTCTATTTTAAGAACCTTTAGTTTATGTTCTGTTTTTGTTAATTTAATTATTCCAGAGTACTATTCTGCCCTTCTAACTAAGAGTGCAGTAACTAAGTCAAACCTGGGGGGCTACTCTCGATCTCCGTCCGACATCCGTCCGAAACAATTACTGTCAAATAAATAATATTAGACAAAATTAAAAGACAAGTATCCAGTATGAAGCTTCATTCGCATCACGCGTCTTTTCATTAGGTCAAGTATAGTTATTATATTTGGCAGTAATTGTTTCCGACGTATGTCGGACGGAGATCGAGAATAAACCCCGTTTTCGAGAAAAACGTGGTTAAAAAAAATAATTTAAAATTTACTTTAGCTTCAAAACTTCAAACACAACTTACAGCAACATGGCATATATGAATAGAAAGGTAAAAGAATGCAGAATTGTAATGTTATATGTGTATGTTAAGGTTATGTATGATAATATTTCAAAAGTATACTTATGCTCAGTAACTGCTCTAGTAACACAACTGATCCTCCTAACCATAACACCAGTAAGTAAGTACCTTAGATACTGCACTTATTATTAGATAAATATTGTACCGCTAATTCATCTAGAAACTATATAGATATATACAACGGCACTTATTTTATTTAAGAACATTATCAAGAATCACTAAGTTTTAAGTTACACAAAAAATCATAACTTAATAAGGCTTAATTGATATACATAACAATGTGTGAATATAGTGATTACAAAAAAAACATTATTTTTTGTTGTGGAATGTATATGGTAAGAAATTTCACTTTATCAAATGCAATCCAGAAAACATAATTTTAAATTAAAGTACGTACCTTCCTCTTCAATATTCATCAATAGGTATTACAAAACTTTCACCACATATAAACACGGAATTGGGTTGAAAGATTATGTTTAATCAGGAGCGCTTTTTGTTCCCGTCTAGTGGTATAACGGTTATTAAGCTTTCAACTTCAACTTTTGTGTCTATGGCTCCGTCGTTTTGCGCGACGATTTTGCCAATGTCAGGGTTGAAAGACATGTGTAGCGGTGGTGAGATAGATTGCCGGTTATTAAAATACTAACAATGCACGTTTTGCAGATGAATTTGACAAAATTGTTGAAATTGTTTTGATTGATTTTGGCTTAGAAATACACCTCTGTGCAATGACTGATTGCCACTAGCTTAGAGACATCTTCTCACCAATTATAACTGCAGTATCCATACGAGTTACTAGTTTTATTAGAATTGCAACTACAAAATGTTATTGATTTCCTTATAATAAATACAGTATCTAATAGATACTGAATTTATAATTAGCTCTAAGGTGGTAGATTTTGTAAAACATAAATAAAATAAGTGCAGCAACTATTAGATACTGCGTTTATAGCTTGAATTCCAACGCCATTGACTCAAAAATTAGTAACTAACCTTACGGCTCTTTAAATTAGCAAATATTATATACTGTACTAAGGTACTGCAGTTTCACTTCCTGTATTACAGGGTTCCCATGGGAATTTTGATATGTCAGGTTACAGCCACATATAGATCTTGTTTTGGTGTTAACGATTATGTATTTAACTCAATTTCATCAAAAATGCTAGTTACTGCACTTTCCTTTAGGATAGCAGTATTAATTTGCTAAGCCCGAACGGGGAAAGTTTGTACTTAGTAATTAATAAATAAATAAAAGATTACTAATTAATTTAAGAAACAAAGACATAGTGAAACTTACCTCGATGAACAAGCATGTTGTTTACTAGCGTAAAACTTTATACTTTTATTAAATGATCTCAAAAATGCGGAGGAAGTCATCTTTAGTATTCTTCGTGACCTGAACTTTCACTGACCGATATCAAGAATTCACAATAAAATTTTATTACTGTAGGTTCACTGATAGTATAATTAACCTTGCAACAGTAAATATGGATTTATTTAAAATAAATTCATGTAATTAAAACTATTTTTTAGAGATATGAACATCGCTACCGCGATATTTCATACGATAATTCAAAGCACTAAAGTGACCACCAACTGCCACCAACTATGAGGACAAATTCGACACTTGTCATCGTGACGCGAATAGGGATGTGGACTAATCATATCGCTATGTACGATTTTCACGAAAAATCGATTCAACATTTTAAGAATTTGCGATTGTTCAGATTATTTTTCGGTTCATTGTTGGTCAGGGGGCCTAAAAGGTCAAATTGTACAATTCTGTTAAAAGCAATTCATTTACAGAATTCCTTGTAATTCGGTAGCAATTCCTCTTATTTTTGTAAAATTCTCCCACATTCCGCTGAATTGTATCCAATTTTTTTAAATTTGATTTTATGATATGCATAAATGGCTTATTACGAGAATTTAGTGTAAATAAGTATGTTCATCGATAAAACAACTACATAAAAAGATTAAATTGCCAAGAAACCAAAGATTTCATAAATTTTCTATTATTCGTCGGCAATAAGTTAAAAGTTGTCAATATCAACAACAAATAATCTCAAATAATCTTTATAATGTTTTCTAAAATTTAAAAAAAATATTTTTCCAAGAAAACGAAATGATATTTAAAAAAATTGGATTGTGGACGTAACTGTTTTCAGGACGCCTCGGAGTAACTCAAATTTCCATTTTATTTTGGAATTCGTGGGAAAACAGTACTTCAAATATGTTTTGTCATAATATAAGAATGTTTCAATAAAATTTATGTATTTTTTTAAACTCAATTATGCTGATAATTGTTTGTTTATTGTTTCGTTGATCGCATTCAAAGTTACATACTACCTAGCCTTCTTTAACTGTCAAATTTGGCCACTTACTTGGTGACGACCATTGACTTACAATTATATGGACGTAGGGTCGGCGCTAAAAAGTGTCCGAACTTATAGGTCGTTAAAATCGTATACAGAGCGTCATTCACGCTTTAGTCTTCGACTGACAGCGCGCTTATCAATGATGCCGTATTGTGTAGTAAATCTATATCTATAGTAAATCTTGTAAAAATTACTCAACTAAAGTGAAAAAACAGGATGGTATATCATATTTTCAGTAAGTACTACATTGTGTTATCATAGTTATCATTTAAAAGTGTTATTTTATGCACTAGTATATATAGCTAACTGTCTCTTTCCGACTCATAGCTTGCGTAGAAGACTGAACGAGACCCAACCAGTGTTGGGCGTTAATCAATTAAATTTCAATCAATAATTCAATCAGATTAAAAAATCAATTCAATTGAAATCAATTGCAATTAAATCAATTGCGACGCGTCGCAATTGATTTAATTGCGATTGATTTTAATTGCAATTAAATTTGCAATTAAAATCAATTCCGGCCCGTTGGCGGTCCCGGTTGGGAACCCCGGTTGGGGGGCCGGTTGGGGGCCCGGTTGGAAGCCCGGTTGGAAGCCCCGGTTGGGGGCCCCGGTTGGGGGCCCGGTTGGGCGGCCCGGTTGGGGGCCCGGTTGGGGGCCCGGTTGGAGGGCCCGGTTGGAGGGCCCGGTTGGGGCCCCCGGTTAGGGCCCCGGTTAGGGGCCCAGTTGGGGGCCCGGTTGGGGACCCAGTTGGGGGTCCGGTTGGGGGGCCCGGTTGGGGGGCCCTGTTGGGGGCCCGGTTTGTGCCCCGGTTTGGGGGCCCTGGTTTGGGGACCCCGTTTTGGGGGCCCCGATTTGGGGGCCCCGATTTGGGGGCCCCGGATCGGAGGCCCTGATTTGGGGGTCCGGTTTGGGGGCCCAGGTTGGGGGCCCGTTTGGGCGCCCCGGTTGGGTGGCTCGGTTGGGGGGCCTGGTTCGGAGCCATCAGGCCCCTTAACTGGCCCCTAACCGGGACCCAAACCGGGGCCCCCAATCGGGGACCCAACCAGGGGCCCCAACCGGGGCCCCCAACCGGGCCCCCTTAACCGGGACCCCAACCGGGCCCCCCAACCGGGGCCCCAAACCGGGCGCCCAACCGGGCCCCCCAACCGGGGCCTTCAACCGGGGCCTCCAACCGGGCCCTCCAACCGGGGCCTTCAACCGGGGCCCCCAACCGGGGCCCCCAACCGGGGCCCCCAACCGGGCCCCCCAACCTGGGCCCCAACCAGGGGCCCAACCGGGGCCCCAACCGGGCCCCCCAACCGGCCCCCTAACCGGGCCCCCAACCGGGGATCCCAACCGGGGCCCCCAAGCGGGGTTCCCAACCCGGGCCCCCAACCGGGACTAACTCACCCCCATATGCCCTATAAATTTATCATAATTTTATTGTCAGTTTTAATTGTTAATTGTTAATCAAAAACATTGAAAAGATTGAAAATTGATTAATTGTTAATTGTAGATATTTGCGATTAACGATTGATCAATTGTTAGTTGCGAGAACCGCAATTAACAATTGATTAATTGTTATTTTATTGTTGAATTGTTGCGGTTCTCGCAACTAACAATTGATCAATCGTTAATTGCTGTTTCGCAATTGACAATTAATCAATTGTCAATCTTTAATTGCCAGAACAATTAAATTTTGCCCAACACTGGACCCAACACGTCAATTTCAATTGTTTCAAACACAAGCGTTTGAAATATTTAGAACAAAAATTTCATAGAGTCGCTGTGATACTAATGTTATTATTAAAATATTTTTTAATACATGTTTCATACATGTGTTAATAAACTTTCAAATATTGTTGTACTCTTTCTACCGCTTGGGGTTACGAATCAGAAGACCGAAAATACATTTTCCCGAAATAACGTTTACATGAATTTCCATAATTCCGAAAGTATTTTTTTAGGTTATTTTTAGAATATTACAAAACAAACCTAAGCTAACTTAGTCTTTTCTTTATAATAAGCCAAATACAAAACTCCCTAAAGCATAACGGTTTTATTATGAATCGGTTTTCAGGATTATGAAAATTTGGCTTTACGTTGAGTTTGAATTTAAAAAAATCGAAACATCGGTACATTTCTTATGGCATGGCATAATAAATGTATTTATTTCAGTTTTCCTCGAGATCCTATACTTTGCTCACCATGGAGATATATATCGCGACAAGAAAAACATTTTAGCCCGAAAATATACAAATTTGTTTGCTCGGCTCATTTCAGACAATCTGATATGTACATAACCAGCAAAGACTTACGAAAATTAAAAAAAACAGCTTTGCCAACATTGCTAGTAAGAACTGGTTTTTGGTGCCTAGGCATTATATTAAATTTATATTAAAGCCTTGGTATGTGATTACATCAATGAGTGAACTGTGCATAGAAAGGAGAGAATACATGAATTTATCCAGTCAACATAGCTTGAACTTAAGGAGAAAATGACAAGTATTAACAGAGAACATCTTACACCGCCAAAATGCATTAAAAATCAAAAGTTGGATGAATGACAAAATATACCAACTTAAGAAACAAAGAAGGTAATTGAAGCAGACTGACACTGCAAATTAAATAGGATTTTTTTTTAAATTTTAAGCAATTTGTAGCTTTCACATGCAAACAATGCATAATAATACACATAGTACAACCTTGATAGCCTAACGGTTTGCACTGTGGGCACTGGATGAGAAGTTCCCGGGTTCGATACCGGTAGGATCAATTTAACAAATTAACTTTTCTAAATGGTTCTGGTCTTGGTATTCTATTGTAAGACAATCACCTGGTCTGAAACTAGGGAACTCTCTGTACATACTCCCCATGAGTATCAGAGCAATAGAATCCCAGAGCAGAACCAATTTACAAAAGTTCATTTCCCAAATTGGTTCTACCGGGAATCGAACCTGGGACCAAGAACGATGGAATTTATCCGCTCACGCGATGCGCTCCTCCTACCGCAAAATGGCGGCTATTTGGTTTCGAAAATTAGAAAAGGATTCAGTTTAAATACAAGTTTTTATAAATAAAAAATATTATTCTGCATTGCTAAATAAATACCCTCCGTACTACTAACAAAAACATCTCAAATAAAATGCAGTATTACACCGCCAATCCTGCACTTAAAAAGCACTAATGAAACTTTTCGTGTAATTGGATAAATATGATAATATTCCATTTGAGTGGTTCTAACGTTTACCATGAAATTACTCCTAAAAGTATAGTTTATAAACATTTATATACAGGGTAAACTTAAAAAACGCTACTTACGGTATGTTTTCAATAAATAAACACCGAAATCACCAGCCCAAACAATAACACACACGATTGTCGTGACGTATTTTTGAAGTTGTTTATTTTTTTTAAAAGACAGACCCAGGCATTAAAAACTTTATGGTTTGCTAGAGTAGTTACCGAAATAGCAATTAATATTAGTTCTTTTACCTGTTATAACTTTGATATCCGATAAATCGGTATAAAATCATCACCGGCACCTCTAAGTGTGGTATGCGTCTACGGCTGCATGTATCGCGTGAGCGGTTATTTCGGGGCACAACTCAGAACACCCAGGCCAAAACAACTTAAACTTGAACGAAAAGTTCACATTTAGTTTTATAGTTGATTGAGCTGATTTCTTACGATTTAAAAAAAAAAATCTCGACTAACTCGAGAAATCGGGTACGAGAAGTCTCGAAACTCAAGAAAAAAATTAAACACCCTAACTCGTAATGAATGGCATTGTATAAAATTCAACATTTACATATAAAATTTATTTATAAATAATAAAAGCTACTCCATTATACCTGTGTTCAAGTACTTTTCACTAGAAGCTACATATGGTGCATTTTGGTAAGTTTCCAGTAGAAGCTGAATATGGTGTTTTTTTGCGCCTTTCAATTGTTGCAAGTAAAATTAGACAGTACTGCAATGACATTACAATTTAAATTTAACGTTTTAGCTTTTTCATATTCCTTTACATGTCACTACGTTTAAATAGGTTGACTTGGGACATTTTTTTCGTGGTTTTTGTATTAGACCCATCGTCCATGTATTTGTAAGTCAATGGTGACGACTATAAAAGGCAAATAGCAAATTCCAAACTCACAGACTTTGCAAACTAAACCAAAATATGACATTGGAAATTGGGGATGGGTAACAATTATCGATATATCGAAATATCGATTTTTTAAATAAAATAATAGTCGATATATATAAGCTAGATTGATCAAGAATCCATATTGTTTTTCGAATATCAATTTCGATATTTCTTATTATCAGAGTCATAGCAATCCTTTACGAAAATCTGAAAATAGTATCAATACTGGGATCCGGTCTGGGCCTTTTGGAGGGAAAAGTGTCGTTTTTATTTTGACTTTCAATTATTTTGTGAAATCTAGTTTAAAGTGGAATAGGATAGTGCTATTGTGCCTTAATCGAAGATTAAAACGCGAATTTATACGAATCTCGAACTAAAATACCCGTATCGGCGTGTTCCAAGGAATCCTATCGTCTTTGTGGCGGCCATATTTACAGAAACATAATTAAACGAAGACATGGCTCGAAGTACTTGTATCCGATTCAAAATTATTAATAGAAAAAAATAATATCAATACTTCTTAGAGCATATCACACGGGAGGCGTTATAGGCTTAGAGATGAAAAAAAAAATAGTGTAAAGGCCCATTTAGATGGAGAGAGTTTCTCGCTCGCTTCGTGACGAAAACTCGTAGGCGATTATCGCAAGCAATAATCGCCTTAAGATTATCGTATCATAATGTTTACATTCAGGCAAGAACTAAAATCTCGCCTACGATTATGTCATACGAGATTCGCAAGCAACTGCCTCCTCGACTGTTTACACAGAGAAATATGTAGTAAGGAGATTCTTGCTTACGAGTTTTCGACTTGTCTAAACTCGATCTCGTATGACATTTTTTCAAGTTCATACAAGTCAATGAGTTCATACGATTATCGTACAAATCGGTTCGAATCGTTTTGAGTGCGAGAATCGCCATTCGAGTTCAGTGATTACTGCGGTATTGACTATGGACATATCGAAATGACGCAAAAATCATTCAAATTTGGAACTGCTGATAATATTAAGATCATTGCATTGTAGAGAAATATACTTTTTTTTTTCAAATTTTATAACATTTCTTAATCCCAATTTTTGTCGTTCTCGTTTCATTAATTCTTGTCTAAGAAAAGCAGTGATAATCAGAACACCCTCGCGCACTGCACTCGTGGTAGAAACGGCTGGCATAGAAACTCGATACGATTTTTGCTTTTAAGTTCTGTTTACACGGAGACGTTCAATATTGAAAGGCGAGGCGATTATCGCTCACGTGGACGGTCGATAATCGCAAATGTTTAGACGAGGAAAGTTTTTTATATTCTTTCGATAATCGTATTTTCGAGACGATAAACTCTCTCCATCTAAATGAGCCTTAAGGGTCGTATTCTAGAACTCTACTCAATGCTCGAGTCAGGACTTGAGTATGATTCAAAGCACTAGAAATCATATTCAAGTCCTATATAGGGTGGTATTTCCAGTGCTTGAAATCATACTCAAGTCTGCTCAAATCCTGACTTAAGCATTGAGTACAGTTCTGGAATACGACACTTAGGGTCGTATTCTACAACTCTACTCAATGCTCAAGTCAGGATATGAGTATGATTTCAAGCACTGGAAATGCGACCCTAATGGCAGGCTTGAGAATGATTTCGAGTGCTTTAAACCGTACTGAAATCCTGACTTCAGTATTGCAGTGAGCACTGAAAATCATACTCAAGTCCTTGCCATTAGGGTCGTATTTCCAGTGCTTGAAATCATACTCAAGTCCTGACTTGAGCATTGAGTAGAGTTCTGGAGTAAGACCCTAAGATGTACAGGGTCAAGAGGACGTCAAGCTTAATACTTAAGACAAATCCAACTCTACGTCGCTTACGGTAACAACTTTTTCCATCCTCTAAGGTAAGAACGGTCCAAAGTACAAAGTGTCAAGCTTGATGTGCTCTTAACTGTACAAATAAAAAAAATTCATCGTACAATAAACATTACTTTTGAGTCGATGTTTTTTCATTTCCATTATCGAATTCAATATGTCGTCTTGCGCCATGCAAGCTTGCAAAAAATCTCTGCTACATTCATTCTAGACAAGAATGGAATTACATTCCATTTGCATGTCTATTTTTTAAATTAATTACCAGTTTTCTTTTTTAACACATTGTTTTTCAAAATGATCACATTTGTAGTGTATACGACCAAAGAGTATCTTGTTACATACGTATGCGACTTGACATACCTACACGCTGTCTCGTGTGTCTACGCGTGGGTACATCCAGTCAGTATCACGAGAACCGTTTGTGGACGGGGTGTTACGTCATGCATGACAGTGCCGAGCCAGTGTTGGCAGGAAATAAAGCAAATATAACAAGTGGCGCGGCGTCGAGGATAAGTGCGGGAATACACGATCGATTTTTCCATCCGTTAGTCGAATCCGATGGTCTGATTCGACTATCGGAAGGCGTTCGTACCATATACTTGTATTAACACTCAATACATGTCCGATCCGATTATCGGATCGGACGTGTATTGAGCTATATTATTGAGTTGGACGTGTATTGTACCGTGTTGCTCGCTCCGGCTGGCGGCCTTTTATAGTCTCATCCTCGCTTCCGCCCGCTTGCGTCGGCATCGGCCCGCGGAACTTTCCACGACGCACGATCGGTCGGCGCGTCACAGGAGGAGTAAGTAATAACAAGAACTGGGTCTTTATTACAATGACGGGTAATGTAATCTAAATAAAACTACCTCTGTGGCCGAACGGTTCCTATCCTATATTGGACTGCCGCGCGAAGGTCCCGGGTTCTATTCCCGGGCCGGTAGGAGTATTATTTGAGTGGCTTGCATTTGTTTCTCTCGAGAGTTTGGGTGTGCTTTGTGGTTGTCTGTCGGTGTGTGTCCATGGCGCCTAGGACGAGGGGTTTTCCTGGTACATAACTGTCAGTGTGTGCGTTATTATTGTTATAATGCATTGTTCTTAGGCAATGCGTGGCTCATTACCGAGCAGCTAGCTAACCTGTTGTAGGTATTTTGTGGGTGCGTCGTCGTGCGAACTAATAAGTATACAAGGGCAGTAGCTGTGAGAGAGAAGTGGCGCTGCTCGAGTAATTTGGCGATTCTGCAGGTTTTACCATTATGATCTTTCGGTGCACAACATAAGGTTCTCTTTCTCAGTGTATTTTTATTGTTGTCTATTATCTTATTGAAACTGCGGTTTTGTTCTTTGTGTCATTGGAATAATGTTGGTAGGTTACAGTCAACAACAACAGTAATATAGTGGTGTAGTTCATTATTGACAGGTAGCCGTATTGCATCTATATTGATGACTGTGACGCTGTCTGTCTTACCGAAACAAGTATTAATTTAAATTGCATGCGACTGCTTTCTGTGTAATTACCAATTATTTACTCCGTGCTATATCTATATACTTGATTAGGCCATTTAACCACTTAACAGTAATTGTTAAATGGTTAAATGGCTTAAATAAATTTTACAATAACTATCACCATGGCAAATGATATGCAATATTCAATTAGTCCATATTTATTATATTACATTGGCATATCATATTTAGCCAACATGTATTTACTCTCTGTATAAGTTATGATAACCTTTGTTTCTGGATATGCGAATGTGTATTCTTTTAGAAAATAAATATCTTAAGTCAATGTACTGGGGTCACAGCTTTTTAGCTGCGGACTATCATGTAAGCATCTATCTAGCATGACAATCAAGCATGATAATTGTGAGAATTATTTGATGGAGATTAGATCTTTCTATTTTATTGCGAATATAAGAACGCGTCTATCTGTGTAGTCTGATACGTGTTATATTCAAGGAAGTAATTAGCAATGTTGTAATTAAGCTGTACAACAAACAGTAATTAGCTCTTGTAGCCTGTCGATATTAATGACTGTACCTATAATAACGTTTTAAAGATTTACTGGTTTCTTCTTGAAATTTGGAATTGTACAAGTATGCACCTCCTACGCTATTACAGATGTACATACAACTAAAATAATAAAAATAAATATTAATAAATAAGTACAACAAATAAATAAAGAGATGCGTAACTCAGTTGAGACTGTGTAGGAAGGTATCCTCCATTCAAGTGGGAGCGAGATCGCGGTGATGGAGGCTATCCTTCGTGCGAGATCGTTGCTGATTCCGATCGGACGTAATCGTCATAGTTTCTAGTGAGATCGCTGTGACGGAAGCTGGTCAAGTGGATGCGAGATCGTTGCTGACGTGATCGCTGGTCGATGGTTCTTCTGTAAAAGGAAACTGTCCCCATTGACATGAGAAAAAGACGTGATTGTTGATGTTTCGTAACGATTCAATTCGTAGCGAGATATTTAGAATTAATTTATATTCAGGTAAAATGCGCGTTACCAGCAAATGACGGGTTAACTGCATTTTTGCCTTGCTCCGTTATGTAGTCTTGTACCTGGGGCCTGCCATGCCGATTTAATTAGGAAAGTAACCAAAGGTATGAACTGCTTTTTTAAATCATCATCAAACTTAAGAGTTGTACTCTTGTCGGTGGAGTATCTTCCAGTCATTTCTCTTATAAGCTAGCTCCTTGACATTCCTATACGACACGACACCGGCCTTTTCCTTTATTTGGTCTGTGTAACTGCGCCTAAGTCGACCTCTTCCCTCGATCTTTCCCTCCAAAATATACTTAAAGAAGTTGTCGTGTCGTATCAAATGTCCAAAAATTTTCCCGCGTCCATACTTCATAGTATTCAGGATTGTTCTTTTCTCGTTTACCATTGTCAATACTTCCTTATTGGTTTTCTTTTCTATCCAACTTATTCTTCTTCAACTTCAACCTCCTCTAGCACCCTATCTCAAAAGCTTCTAATTTTTCCCTATCTCTTTGTGTCAGTGAAGAAGAAGAAGTGTGAAACATGAACATGTTTCACATCCATAAAGTGCAATACTCCAAATGTACACTAATTAGATGTTTCTTGTTCTTGCATGACAAGCTGCGTGATTTTAGTAGTTGTTTTTTATGGTTAAAAGCTGTTTTTGCTATAGCAATTCGTGCAACAATATCAGGTGTACACCTGGAGTCTTTGGTAATTAAGCTTTCCTTAATATCTGAAACATCTATCCGTTCAATTGGTGTGTCTTTGAGTACCTACTATTGACGAATGTTTTGAGTGGTGTTTTGATGTTGTAAGCTTTTTGGTCTTCTTTATGTTTATCTTTGACTCGCACTCTTTAAATGTTGAATCTATTTTTTGTAAATCATCGGCCGGGCATTATTTGTTACCTACATTAAGTCCTTGTAAAGTACTCCCTAGGTTGTTATTAGTTTGATAAATAATCTTAATGTAACAAATAATAATAAAATAAATAGTATATTTACATTTTTTTCACTTTGCATTTGAGAACAAATTATTATGTTAATGCGCCCTTAGCCTATATATTTATAGGGTTGTGTGTGGGTGCTTGAGTGTCTGTTACTGGCTGCTATAATTGATGTAAATATTTCTATATAGGCGTTACTACATAGAAAGTGAAACCAAAAACTTGCATACAAGAGCGATATCTATGTACTAGCGTACACATTCATAATATTTTATACACACAATTTGTTTCTTGGAATAAGACGCTATTCCACTGACTGTATGAGAAAATGAAAATCCTCGATACTCTACTGTTTATTGTCGATAGCTATCTATCGATAAGTAATTATTATTGAAGATAAAATATTGGGAATAGCCGTTAGATGGAATATTCGGGTTCGGACCTATTAATTGTAGTGTCACAGTGCCATCTATTATTGTTCTTTGACTTTGACGCTTCTTCTTAGAGTAGGGTTTTGTCGCTACTCTTTGGCGATGTCAGGAAGATTATACACGCACCAGGCTTTACCCTCCGCAGAAGCATTTTATGAAAAACAATTTTTTTAGTGCAAGATAGGCAAATAAAACATTCGGTAAAAATAATAAAATCTTGTCATCAATCGCATTATTATTTATTACGGCCATATTAAAAGGTTCATAACATGTTATTGGTACCCTATTTGTTTAAAACTTAGGTAAGATAGGAAATATATTGATATTTTATCTATGCTTTTGATCTACATTTATTTTTTCGATTAAAATTTGAAACTATTTTATTCTTTTGTATATCATATCCGTCAGCTTTGAAAACAATTTAGGTGATGTAGATGATATGCGACCTAACTCTTCCGCTTGACATACGATATTGTTATAACATGCCCTTTCCTTATCTCTGTAGATTTGTGGTAATGCTACTTCGTTATAGAGCCATTTGATTTTTTGGACATGCTCCCTATTCGCGCTACCATAAAATTTCTGAAATAATTCTCTTTGTACGGGATTAAAATGCTGTAATGCTGTGACGGCCAACCAAGTGCATTTGCCTTCTTGAATGTCTGTGCCAATTTTTCCGGATACGGATGCGTCACTGTAGCAGTCTATGTAATCGTCCTGAAATCCGATTTGTAAGCTAATTTATGTGAACTAGTAGTATATTATAAGCTATAATATATATGTAATATATGTAGTATATATATAGTATAGTATATTATAAGGTGTAGTATAGTATAAGCTAGTGTCTTTATAATTTATCAAGTACAAGCGGTTAGGACTTACGCTTTGTATTTACGAGTAATTTGTAAAGTATTAACAACCATACCTACAGGGTAATTTGAAAAATATTAACTACCTTGCAGAGTCCTCCAATGTTGACTATAATACTAACATCATAAACAGAAACTTTTGTTCCATGACTTTTAATAAATCATCACATTCTACTTTCGTACAAAAATAAAAAAATATTTCGTTAGAATCGCTCTGAACGGCGATAACTCTGTGTGGTAACAAAAGAAAGCGCCAGCGTAAACACCAGCCCGATGCCAAATTTGTGAATGAGCGTAGAGGTCGTCGGAGAGATTTGCATATTTGAACTTATTACCAAATATAGATCTAAAAAGTGTTAGATTCTACAACAAAAATTTAAAATCTTATTTTTGGTAAATTTTATTATATTTTGTAAACATGTATAAAGCAACATGTGTAAGTACTATTGCGTCCCGCTTACGACAAACTTCGAAGTTGGCGGGTGAAAATGCCGCGAAACTAAAGCACGCAAAATACTGGGCTTGGAGCCGGTGTACGACTTCGTACCTGTCGCGATCGAAACGAAACAGGGAGAACCCCAGTTCGGAATCTCTGAATTTATAAAAGGTTGAGTCGAAAAGTCAGAGAGATGGGCTGCAATCACCGCTCTGGGTCGTGGTTGGTTCAGCAGGTGTCCATTGTCATGATCGCCGTTAAGCGAGGTAATGCTGCCAGTACATTGAGTATATAACCAGAAATAGAGACGAAATGTCATTTAATTTGTTTGAAAACTATTCTGACATCCGTCGGAAACAATTACTCTGAAATAAGTAATATTCGACCAAAATCAAAATACAATGTCAAGTATTACGCTTCATTCGCAATTGGCGTCTTTTCATTTGGTTGAGTGTTAGGTACTTATTTGACCTTTAGGTTAAGAAGCTTGATTTTGATTGTCTCTCCCGATCGTAAACTGCATCTCTTCCGTATCCAGGCGCATAATTGCGATTCACAACTGGCTGATCGGAAACTTGACATTTCAAATCGGAACAATTGTTGATGTAACTCACAAATTAGAAAGGTATAATAAAAACATGTTTATATCTCACCACAAAATACAACACAATATAAATCGTAGGTACGTTACAGTAGTATATATAATATGGTGCTTGATGTAGGTATTTCACCTGTATTACAAGTCACCAGGCCCCATCCCGTGAATAATGAGATTTACTTACTAAGTAATAAGGAGTAAATGAGTAGATGATTAAATTGTTGAAATAAGTAAAAACCATAAATAAAAACTAAAAAATAAAAAGTAAGATTAGACAGTACTTATTATTAGCGTGAGAAGTAGATGCATGTGTGTGCGTGCGTGCGCGCGCGCGCGCGCGCGCGCGCGTATGTATGTGTATGTGTGTGCGTGTGCGTGTGCGTGTGTGTGTGTGTGTGTGTGTGTGTGTGTGTGTGTGTGTGTGTGTG